GTTGTTTTTGTTTCTCCCTGATGAAAAGCCACACCCTTTGTTGATTTTAATTCCCTATAAGCCAATCCTGTAAGCCATGTCATCAGTCACCCCTCCCTCTGTCAGAGCAACAGCAGACAATCGTTCCGCGCCTTTTTTCTGTGAAGATGCCATACCATGGCAGCATGGAGTCTGCTCAGCTCACTTTGGCAATTAGGAGCACGTTAAACACCACATGCATTATCCAGCAGTATATGCAGCACCAGAACCTGGCAAAGCGAAACCGGGCGAGTAGGTGACGTCAGCGCAGTGACGAGAGTGATGAAGACATGGACAGACTTCTCTCAAAGCATGGGCCCTGGCAATGCAGGCCTCGTGTTGCTAACGGGGTAGGTTCATGCTGTGGAACACCAATTCTGGGCCCGGGAAACAAGCACAGACTGGTGGGACTGCATAGTGTTGCAGGTCTGGGACGATTCCCAGTGGCTGCAAAACTTTCACATGCGTAAGGGCACCTTCATGGAACTTTGTGACTTGCTTTCCCCTGCCCTGAGGCGCATGACTATCAAGATGAGAGCAGCCCTCACAGTTGAGAAGCAAGTGCCAATAGCCCTGTGGAAGCTTGCAATGCCAGACAGCTACCAGTCAGTTGGGAATCAATTTGGAGTGGGCAAATCTACTGTAGGGGCTGCTGTGATGCAAGTAGCCAGCGCTATCACTGAGCTGCTGATATCAAGGGTAGTGACTCTGGGAAATGTGCAGGTCATAGTGGATGGCTTTGCTGCAATGGGATTCCCTAACTGTGGTGGGGCCATACACGGAACCCATATCCTTATCTTGGCACTGGAGCACGAGGCCAGTGAGTACATAAACCGCAAGGGGTACTTTTCAATGGTGCTGCAAGCACTGGTGGATCACAAGGGACATTTCACCAACATCAACATTTCATCAACATCATGGCCGGGAAAGGTACCTGAAGCTCACATCTTCAGGAACTATAGTCTGTTTCAAAAGCTGCAGGAAGGGACTTTATTCCAGATCAGAAGATAACCGTTGGGGATGTTGAAATGCCTATAGTTATCCTTGGGGACCCAGCCTACCCCTTAATGCCTTGGCTCATGAAGCCGTACACAGGTAGCCTGGACAGTAGTCAGGAGCTGTTCAACTACAGGCTGAGCAAGTGTAGAATGTGCATTTGGACCTTTAAAAGCGAGCTGGCGCAGTTTACTGACTTTTAGACCCCAGCAAAACCAATATTCCTATTGTTATTACTGCTTGCTGTGCGCTCCACAATATCTGTGAGAGTAAGGGGGAGGCGTTTATGGCGGGGTGGGAGGTTGAGGCAAATCGCCTGGCCGCTGGTTACGCGCAGCCAGACACCAGGGCGGTTAGAAGAGCACAGGAGGGCGCGGTACGCATCAGAGAAGCTTTGAAAACCAGTTTCATGACTGGCCTGGCTACTGTGTGAAAGTTCTGTTTTGTTTCTCATTGATTGAACCTCCCCCCCCCCCGGGTTCACTCTACTTCCCTGTAAACTAACCACCCTCCCCTCATCCCTTCGATCACCGCTTGCAGAGGCAATAGTCGTTGCTTCACATTCATGCATTCTTTATTAATTCATCACACAAATAGGGGGATAACTGCAAGGTAACCCGGGAGGGGTGGTGGAGGAGGGAAGAACAAGGCCACACAGCACTTTAGAACTTATTGAATGCCAGCCTTCTGTTGCTTGGGCAATCCTCTGGGGAGAGTAACTGGGTGGCCAGAGGAGGCCACCCCGCCACCCCGTTCTTGGGTGTCTGGGTGAGGAGGCTATGGAACTTGGGGAGGAGGGTGGTTGGTTACACAGGAGCTGTAGCGGTGGCCTGTGCTTCTGCTGCCTTTCCTGCAACTCAACCATACGCTGGAGCGTATTAGTTTGATCCTCCAGCAGCCTCAGCATTGAATCCTGCCTCCTCTCATCACACTGCCACCACCTATCAGCTTCAGCCCTCTCTTCAGCCCGCCACCTCTTCTGGTAATTTTGTGCTTTCCTGCACTCTGACATTGTCTGCCTCCACGCATTAGTCTGTGCTCTGTCAGTGTGGGAGGACAGCATGAGGTCAGAGAACATTTCATCGCAAATGCGGTTTTTTCACCTTCTAATCTTTGCTAGCCTCTGGGAAGGAGAAGATCTTGTGATCCTTGAAATACATGCAGCTGGTGGAAGAAAAGAAAAGGGACAGTGATATTTAAAACACATTTTATAGAACAATGGGTACACTCTTCCACAGTAAACCTTGCTGTTAACATTACATACATGGCACGTGCTTTTGTTACAAGGTCACATTTTGCCGCCCCCCCACCATGTGGCTAACTCCTCACCCCTCCCTGTGGCTAACAATGGGGAACATTTCTGTTCAGCCACAGGCAAACAGCCCAGCAGGAACGGGCATCTCTGAATGTCGGCTTAAGAAAAGCACCCTATTTCAACCAGGTGACCATGAATGATACTACTCTCCTGAGGATAACAGAGATAAAGAACGGATGTTGTTTGAACGGCAGCAAACATACACTGCAATGCTTTGTTCTGCAGTGATTCCCGACTATGTGTTACTGGCCTGGCATGGTAAAGTGTCCTACCATGGTGGATGGAATAAGGCTACCCTCCTAAGAAACCTTTTGCAAAGGCTTTGGGAGTACATCTAGGAGAGCTTTACGGAGATGTCCCTGGAGGATTTCTGCTCCATCCCCAGACACATTAACAGACTTTTCCAGTAGCTGTACTGATCGTGAATGCCAGGGCAAATTAATCATTAAACCCGCTTGCTTTTAAACCATGTATACTATTTAAAAAGGTACTCACCAGAAGTCCCTTCTCCACCTGGTGGGTCCGGGAGGCAGCCTTGGGTGGGTTCGGGGGGTACTGGCTCCAGGTCCAGGGTGAGAAACAGTTCCTGACTGGTGGGAAAACTGGTTTCTCCGCTTCCTTGCTGTGAGCGATCTACAACCTCATCATCATAATCTTCCTTGTCCCCAAAACCTGCTTCCGTGTTGCCTCCATCTCCATTGAAGGAGTCAAACAACACGGTTGGGGTAGTGGTGGCTGAACCCCCTAAAATGGCATGCAGCTCATCATAGAAGCAGAATGTTTGGGACTCTGACTCGGAGCGGCCGTTTGCCTCTCTAGTTTTCTAGTAGGCTTGCCTCAGCTCCTTAAGTTTCACTCGGCAGTGTTTGGGTACCTGTTATGGCGTCTGTCCTTCATGCCCTGGGAGATTTTGACAAATGTTTGGCATTTCGAAAACTGGAATGTGGCTCTGCTAGCACGGATTCCTCTCCCCATACAGCGATCAGATCCCGTACCTCCCGTTTGGTCCATGCTGGAGCTCTTTTGCGATTCTGGGATTCCTCTGCTGATGAGCTCTGCATGGTCACCTCTGCTGATGAGCTCTGCACTTGCCTGCAGCTTGCCATGCTGGCCAAACAGGAAATGAAATTCAAAAGTTCGCAGGCCTTTTCCTCTCTACCTGGCCAGTGCATCTGAGTTGAGAGTGCTGTCCAGAGCGGTCACAATGGAGCACTCTGGGATAGCTCCTGGTGGCCAATACCATCTAATTGTGTCCACAGTACCCCAAAATTGACCCAGCAAGGCCGATTTCCACGCTAATCCCCTTGTCGGGAGTGGAGTAAAGAAATACATTTTAAGAGCCCTTTAAGTCGGAAAAAAGGGCTTCGTCATGTGGACGGGTGCAGGGTTAAATCGATTTAACGCTGCTAAAGTCAACCTCAACTCCTAGTGTAGACCAGGGCTTAGTGTTTTTTGGGAGAGATTTCCAGAACACAGGATCAGTGCCTACAAATAGTTTTATAAACTTTTGAAAATATTTTCCCTTCTGTTCAAAATGTGTATTAAGGATCTCTTCGGTATTGGCTCTGTCAGACTATTTCTGCTGCCTTGTTGCTCACCTTTCTGGTGCCAACAAACTAGTTAGCGGATTTCCAGTGCGATGCAGAAACGGAAATAAGTCAAACTCCACTTTTGTTGTCCTGGCTGGAATACAGGCTGCTATGATGGCAGTTAGCCGGGGGAAAAAATAAGACCCGGTATATTGTGGGAGGACCAGCTGCAAATGAAGGGGATGATCAATAAATAAAACATGAGATCAGTGCACTAGCACAGTGGTTCTCCAAGCCGGTCCGCCGCTTGTTCAGGGAAAGCCCCTGGCGCGCCGGACCGGTTTGTTTACCTGCCGTGTCCTCAGGTTTGGCCGATCGCGGCTCCCACTGGCCAACGGGGCTGCGGGAAGGGCGCCACAACCCCTGTTGGCCTGCAGCAATGAACCGCGGCCGGTGGGAGCCGCGATCGACTAACCCTGCGGACACAGCAGGTAAACAAACTGGCGCTCCAGGGGCTTTCCCTGAACAAGCGGCGGACTGGCTTTGAGAACCACTGCACTAGCAGATAAGGTGTTTTGATAGTTAAATGATTGGTCTGACTCTGAAACCTTGTTTTATAACTTGTTACATACCCAAAGAAGTCCTTAATGTTGATTAAATTTAGATTTATAATATTTGTCAGTTGCTGTCAGATTTATATAAGCTACAGACTTGCAGTCTGGCCTTCATCCACCATGATCAACTATATAAACCATTTTACCAATTTAATTACAGCAATGTCTAAGTATAACTTACTGTAACTGATAGCAATATGTAGTGTAGTATTGTTTCTAGATAGCACCATGAGATGTTTAACGTGAGGCCACTGATATAACTAAGCAAGATGCTGTTCGTTCTATACGTTATGGAAGCAGTCCTCCTTTTCCTATTTCCCGCAGTACTTATGCTATTATAATCTGCCCTCTTAAGTTAAAACTCATTGGGGACATTGTTACTGATCAACGTTGTTATTGAACCAATATTTCTAACAATTACCACCCACCACTATAAGAACAAGAGGCATGGAATTGTACTGGTATTTTACTTTTTGTCTATTCGATGTCATGGAATTGCCTTCCTCAATATTTAAACCTTTTTTACAGGTAAGCAAGTGAGAACCAAACTGTCACAGGCCTTTAATCACTGGCTGAATGTTCCAGAAGATAAAATACAGGTACCAGTCACTTTCTCTGTATTGCTTAAAAAAGGAGGTATTTTTAAAACTAGAAGAGATAGAGATGATGAATACCGTTAGTTTAGATAGTATTGAATACTGATGAATCCCAAACACTTCCATTTATATTTTGCTGAAGGTGGCTTGACTTGTTGGAAAGCAGTTTGCTATGGCTTGCAGCCTTATGAATTTAATGTTAATAAAAAGGAAAACATCTGCTTATTAACATTACACAAAATGTTACACACAAAAAAGTAACCCCTTGGTGTCTGGCTGTGTGCCCCCGCCATGTGAGTCTGTCAAGTCAAACATTCTCTTCAGAAATCTAGTCTGCAGTGCATTTTTTCTAAATTAACTAAATCTAAGGTATAAAAGCTTCTCACTAAATATCTGACTAGATCAATTCTCCAACTCTTATTTCTGACAGTCTTATCCAGCCAGTCCCTATGTTGATTTCATTAGTGACCATACTTCTGTACCTCAATGTTGAGGTTCTTGTTAGGACTGTCGAGATTAAAAAAATTAATCGCACCGTTAAGCAATAATAGAATACCATTTATTTAAATATTTTGGATGTTTTCTACATTTTCAAATATACTGATTTCAATTACAACATAGAATATAAAATGTACAGTGCTCACTTTATATTTTTATTACAAATATTTGCACTGTAATACTTTTTATTTTATTTTATTTTTCAATTCACCTAAAACTAGTATTCAAAAATAAAACACTCAGTCCTACTTCTTGTTCAGCCAGTTGTTCAAACAAACAAGTTTGTTTATATTTACAGGAGATAACGCTGCCCACTACTTGTTTAGTGACACCTGAAAGTGAGAACAGGCATTCGTATGTCACTGTTGTAGCCAGGGTCGCAAGATGTTTGTGTCATATGTGGTAAAGATTCATGCTTTGACCACCATTCTGAGGACATGCATCCATGCTGATGACTGTTTCTGCTTTATAACAATCCAACGCAGTGCGGACCGAAGCATGTTCATTTTCATCATCTGAGTCAGATGCCACTGGCAGAAGGTTGATTTTTTTTTTTTTTGGGTGGTTCGCGTTCTGTAGTTTCCTCATCAGAGTGTTGTTCTTCTAAGACTTCTGAAAGCAAGCTCCACACCTTGTCCCTCTCAGATTTTGAAAGGCACTTAAGATTCTTAAACTTTGGGTCGAGTGCTGTAGCTATCTTTAGAAATCTCACATTGGTACCTTCTTTGCATTTTATCAAATTTGCAGTGAAAGCGTTCTTAAAATGAACATGTGCTGGGTCATCATCTGAGACTGCTATAATACAAAATATATGGCAGAATGCAGGTAAAACAAAGCAGGCAACATATAATTCTCCCCAAAGGAGTTCAGTCACAAGTTTAATTAACACATTTTTTTTAATGTGCATCAGTATGGAAGCATCCTCTGGATGGTGGCTGAAGCATGAAGGAGCATACAAATGTTTAGCATATCTGGCACGTAAATACTGTACCTTGCAATGCTGGCTACAAAAGTGCCCTGCAAACGCCTGTTCTCGCTTTCAGGTGACATTGTAAATAAGAAATGGGTAGCATTATCTCCCGTAAATGTAAACAAACTTGTTTGTCTTAGCAATTGGCTGAATGAGTAGTAGGACTGAGTGGACTTCTAGGCTCTAAAGTTTTACATTGTTTTGTTTTTGAGTGCAATTATCTAACCAAAAAAACCTACGTTTGTAAATTGCACTACAGTACTTGTATGAGGTGAATTGAAAAATACTATTTCTTTTATCATTTTTACTGTGCAAATATTTGTAATAAAAAATAATATACAGTGAGCACTGTACACTTTGTATTCTGTGTTATAACTGAAAACATATTTGAAAATGTGGAAAACATCCAAGAATATTTAAATAAATGGTATTCTGTTTAATCGCGAGATTAATTTTTTTAATCACTTGACAGCCCTAGTCCCTTCATATTCTTTTTTGGGAGGTATACATAGGTCTTTTGTACACCTGCCTTTCACAAAAGCAATGATGATGCAATTTCCTTCGTCAAATAAGAAACGTGATAAGCTGGTAGCACAAGAGTAGTGTTTCACTTAGAAAGGCAATGGAAAAGACCATGAATAAGAACTTAAGAATGGCCATACTGGGTCAGACCAATGGTCCATCTAGCCCAGTATCCTGTGTTCTGACAATGGCCAATGCCAGATGCCCAAGAGGGAATGAACAGAACAAGTAATCATCAAGTGATCCATCCCCTGTCGCCCATTCCCAGCATCTGGCCCAAAGAGTCTAGGGACGCTTCAGAGCATGGTTTTGCATCCCTACCCATCCTGGTTAATAGCCACTGATGGACCTATCCTCCATGAACTTATCTAATTCTTCTTTGAGCCCTGTTAGAGTCTTGGCCTTCACAACATCCTCTGACCGTGAGTTCCACAGGTTGACTGTGCGTTGTGTGAAGAAATACTACCTTTTGTTTTAAACCTGCTGCCTATTAATTTCATTCGAAGACCCCTAGTTCTTGTGTTGTGAGAAGGAGTAAATAACATTTCCTTATTTACTTTCTCCACACCAGTCATGATTTTATAGACCTCTATCATATCCCCCCTTAGTCGTCTCTTTCCCAAGCTGAAAAGTCCCAATCTTATTAATCTCTCATCATATTGAAGCTGTTCTTATACACCTAATCATTTTTGTTCTCCTTTTCTGTACCTTTTCCAATTCCAGTGTATCTTTTTTGAGATGGGGCAACCAGATTTGCATGCAGTATTCAAGATGTGGGCATACCATGCATTTATATAGAAGCATTATGATATTTTCTGTCTTATTATCTATCCCTTTCCTAATGATTCCCAACATTCTGTTTGCTTTTTTGACTGCCGCTGCACACTGAATGGATGTTTTCAGACAACTATCCACAATTACTCCAAAATCTTTCTTGAGGGGTAACAGCTAATTTAGACCCCATCATTTTATATGTACAGATGGGATTTTTTTCCCCCAATGTGCACTACTTTGTATTTATCAACACTAAATTTCTTCTGCCATTTTGTTGGCCAGTCATGGCAACTCATGAGACTTTTGCTCTCTGAGTAATGACAAGTTTCTTATTTGACTGCATTTCGGTAACTTGGGAGGAGAAAATACTATTTCATAGGACAAGCAATTAGAAACCAGTTGGGCTTAACTTTCTGGTGCCCCTCTAACTGCCAGAGCAAGAAAACAGGCAGAAAACAGCAGCCTGTATCAAGAGGCTAGACAACATCTGACGAAGGCCTTTGTCCTCGGCCTCAAATACATCATCACTGGAGGAAGAATAAAAGAGTAAACATTGCTAGCCACATGATACCATTGCTTGGAATGGAGAAAAGAGTAAAAAAATAAAACCACATCACCAAAACACTACTGTTATTAATGCTAAAGCCACAATTCTTCCCACACTAAACTGTGCAAGTCTCTAAGATTTTAGAACCGCAGTCCTTACCTGCTTTTAACTTCTTGTCCCAGCTTCAAATTGAAATTGTTCAATGACTGAGTAATAGTATGTGGCACTACTAACTGGGAGAATCATGATTCAGACTCGTATTTCAAACAAATGGACAGTATCACAGAGCTATTCTGCAGAAATGGTAAATTCATCCATATGACAGGTCAGACACTGTGTGGGAAAGACCTACACTATACTAGACAAGTCATGGATTCCAAGGAGAGAAGGGACCATTGCAATCATCTCATCCGACCATCTGTATAACACAGAACTTCCTCAAAATAATTCCTAGAGCAGATCTTTTAGAAAAAAACATCCAATCTTGATTTTAAAATGGTCAGTGATGGAGAATCCACCATGACCCTTAGTAAATTGTTCCAATGGCTAATTACCCTCAGTAAAAAAAAAATGTACACCTTATTTTCAGTCTGAATTAGTCTAGCTTCAACTTCCAGCCATTGGGTTGTGTTATGTTTCTCTGCTAGACTGAAGAGTCCATTATTAAATATTCCCTATGTCAATTCTTATAGACTAATCATGTCACCCCTTAACCTTCCCTTTGTTAAGCTACTTAGATTCAGCTCTTTGAGTCTATCACAGGCATAGTTTTTAATCCTTTAATCATTCTCATGGCTGTTCCTGAACCCCCTCCAATTCCTCAACATCCTACTTGAATTGTAGGCACCAGAACTGGACACAGTATAGCAGCAGTAGTTGCACCAGTGCCAAACAGAAGTAAAATAACTTCTCTACTCATAATCAAAAGTCCCGTTTGTGCATCCAAGCATCCTATTAGCTTTTTTGGCCACAGCACCACACTAGGAGCTTATATATTCAGCTGATTATCTACCGTGACCCCTAATCTTTTTCAAAGTCACTACTTCCGAGGATAGAGGCCCCCATCATGTAAGTATCGCCTACATCCTTTGTTCCGAGATGTACACATTTACATTTAGCTGTATTAAAACGCACATTATTTGCTTGTACCCAGTTTACCAGGCAATCCAGACCGCTCGAATCAGTGACCTGTCCTGTCAGTATATTTGAAAATTTAGGAAAAACATCCAAAATATTTAATAAATTTCTATTGGTATTCTATTGTTTAGCAGTGCGACTAAAACTGCGATTTATCGCAATTTTTTTATTGCCATTTTTTTTTTTAGTTAATCACGTGAGTTAACTGCAATTAATAGACAGTCCTAGTTCCTATGAAGTGTGTGGATAAAGAAATCTGTTTCTGGTTTTTCTGAGGGTGGTATTTTAGGGACAGAATGAAGTTTGGTTGGGTGATCTGAACTTCATGTATTTGCCTACCTTCAGATGTGCTGTTTCTGTAGTGTAATCTTTATTTTGTGATTTCCATTTTCTTCTGTTAATATAAAGCATGGCAGTATTCTTGTTTGCTGAAACAATATTTGTTTCCATTCAAAGTTAGCAATTTAAAAGTCCTATCAACATCCTTGGATTTTAAATGTTTAACTTAGTCAGTGATTGTTCTTGTAGGCCCCTCAAGCAGTGCAGGGATTCCAG